CTTATGCTCAAAATGGACAATATCATACTATTATAGAGAGTCGTGATTTCGAACCGTTTTTAGATTTCAAAATAAGTAATTAGCTCATCTTAAGTAACTGTAGCTCATAGCTGGTTGAATTCGAGTATTCGATCCAGTAGATTGGAAGCAAGAACCTACTGTTTTCTCGATCCATTAGCAATATTCAAGTTATATTTTCCAACCCTTTAGATTCTTACTTTTAACAAGAATCACAAAAAAAGCAAAAGTAAGAGAAATTCACGAGAATACCCAAAGCAGCAAGCTCAACAGCGCTCCCCTGGCCAATAACCGCAGTGTCAATGAGACTCATCAACGGTCCACATATCCACAATCCAATGGCCGGACCAGTAAAAGTTACAATCTCCTTCATCTGACTCAACAACCCTTGGATCCCCAATTCTTCTCTTCCAATCCCCAATAACTGCTCATTTTCCTGTACTTCATTGTCAATCTCATTACTGCCTTCCCGCTCCTGATTATCGCGAGGAACCGCGAACCGACGGCGAACCCGCGGCGATACATCGACGGATAAAGGGGAGGTGTTGGTGGAGAAAGAATGGCGGGTGAAGGGAAAGGAAGGGCGAGAGAATGGTCCGAGAACTCTGGGGATATGGATTCGAGCAGCGATCGAAGAAGGACAATGGAGGGTTCTGAAAGACATCTTTGGCGCCTGGAAATGGATCGGAGCGAGAGAGAGCGAATGCTCCGCCATGGGAGTGTAGTGGTAGTGTCTGTGAAAGAAGGAAGATCGAATATTCAAAGAGGTGAAGCCACGTGGATGCTTTTTGGCCAATCATTTGTGAAATTATGAATTTTGGATTAAAAACACCGTTGATTCTTTTTATATGTTAGTTGGAGTAACAAATTTAGTCAACTTTTAGTATTTAAAAGTCAAATATAAATCAATTGGTCATTACTTGTATTTTCGATCCATAAATAAATATTCGAATATTTCATCTTATGATATGATTTAATGACATTTTTCATACATAGATCAATAAATCGAGCTACATGTATTTTATTAGCTATCGTGATTAGCTAAAATGAACTTAATTTACCTATAATCGACATGTTTTTTTTTTAAGTTGAAGGTTCAAACGAGCTTAAAATGATTAAATTCTTATTTTGGAGTGATTTTGAACTCGAACAAATGTGTTTTATAGTTGAACCGATCAGCTAAAGTGAGCTTAGCTCGTAGATGATTGAGCTGAAAATTTTAAATTATCGTGCTTCCACATTTGTTGTATTAAAAAAAAATAAACTAAAATAAAATGAATAAGGAGTACTTAGGGTGAGGAACCGAATGAGTCCCACAATTTACTAATTTCAACTATTGCTCGTGTTTCACGACTTTATCCTTTCTATCAATTATTTTGAGAATTTCTTAATCATCGTATCATCGAGATCACTCTCATTTGAATATGGTATCAGTTTACTCATGGATCACTCCTTTATTTGAGTGTCACATGCTCACCAACTTTCACCTTAGTTCTTTCCCGAGCTACATCCTACTGGGAAAGGTTCTATTACGATACCACTTGTAACGTCTTATCCATATAATTCCTTCCTCCTTAGAACCCAATGACACAGCTGTACAACCGAACATATCATGTTCAAGTAAGGTCGACTACTCAACCTAACATCTTTCTCGCTTATAGATTAATATCCTCGTTTTTTTTTCTCTCGTACACCCTTAATTCCCTTCCCCACATATCTTAAAATTTTGTTCATCGTTTCCTGCCAGAGCTACGTTGAGTTGAACACGTGAAAAGGAAGATTCAACCATCTAACACTTGAATTGACGATATGTAAAGTCAACTGAGCTCTATTCCGATGAGCAATAATTATCCTACTTTTTGAAACTTTAAAAAATAATATATTTATTTTATTATTTATAATTTCATATTAAATTTAATAAATTAAGTATTTTGTTCAAATTCAGAATTAGGCCAAGTCCAAGGACTAAATAATAAATCATTATAAGTAAATATCCTCGCAAAGCAAACACCTTATGTTAATATTAAAATATATAATTTTTTTAATAAACGTAGAAACCACGTCTTTTAAAATATTAATTATTTAAGTAATTAAAAATATTTTAAACAATGAAATCCTAAGGCCACGTTTGTACAACGTGAACAATATTTTTCGAATAAATAAATAAACGCGCTTATTTATAATTAAGTTTTTGAAAATTACAAATTTTTTTTTTTTTTGTCTTTTTTCCTTTTATTAAAGAATATTGGGTTTTTAATATTTTAAAATTTAAAATTTGTTGGCACGCTATTTTAATATCTTTTAGAAGATTTTATTACCACTAAAATATTATTAAATAATAATTAAAATCGGATAAGTTTAAATATAGAATATTTACAAGTCACTGACACATCATTAACATCAGATACAAACATTAAATATTTTAAAAATACAATCGGGTTAGGGTTGGATTGTGTAATAGTGAAAGCCTATCGCTAGCAGATATTGTCCTATTTGGACTCTTCCTTCGAGAGCTTCCTCTCAATGTTTTAAAACGTATATGCTATGAAGACAGTTTAACCCTACTCTAACCAATGACTCGCACCATTCGATAACTAGCTATGGTATCATTTGTAACAGCTATTGTTATCTTCAGTTCCTTAGTAGACGTATTTTAAAACATTGAGAAAGTCCTTGAAGGAAAAACAAAAAGACAACTATATCTGCGAGTAAACTTGACTATTACAGACTGTAACCCTATATTGGTGCGTTGACCTAATAGAAAAATGTCAACCCACCAATCGAACTAATCTTCTATTTTTAAAAAATTCAACCCAACCAAAATCGAAAAAAAAAATTCATTTAATATGAACTGGTTGATTTTTCAAATCAATTAAAATAAAAAAAAATAGAAAGGAAATAAATGCTGTTATTATTATATATTTTATTGGGCTAATAAAAAAAATTATATATTTTAAACCTTTTTATTAAATTATTTATATTAATTAAATATTAATGTTAATAAATTTTTTTGAATTAATATAAATATTAATGTTATTAAATTTTGATCTTCCACATCTCATCCTTACTTTTCCAATGCAATTTACTCATGAATTTATGGCCTCAATCAATGAACCATTCATACTATTATTTTAAATATATACATAACTATTATTAATTCTATTTAATTAAATATTTCAAAATAAATAAATAAATAGATTTTATTATTATTATTATTTTCAAATTATTAATATTTCTCTAAAATTTAGAAATTCTAATTTGTTCCATTATTAATATGAGTTTTTTAAAGTTAAATAATAATAATAATAATAATAAATAAATAAATAACTATAGAATTTTCCTTTTTGACTTCAAAAGAATCAATGAACATGAAAATGTTAAATCTTTTTATTTTTATTTTTTATTTTTTATCCTAGAACAAAAGCTTAATACTTGAATTAAAAATTTAAAAATGTTTTTTTGGAAAAAAAACAATAAGTTTAAAATAAATTTACCCTTGTTTGATTTAATAAACTAATATTTTTTATTTTATTTTATTTTAAAACAATTGCGACAAAAATTAATTACGAAAAAAAAAATGATTATTTATCTCTTTTGTTCATGCAAATATAACAAGAAATAAATAATCACAATAAAAAAAATACTCAATATTGATTTAAATCATCTCGGATATAATTCTTCTTAATATTGATGTGACAAGCTAAGAACGCTAACTGCTCGATCTAGTTTAGATATTAATATCGATATTGATTTAGTTCTCCTTATCATTTTTGTGAATATGATTTTAAAAACGCTGATTCGATTCTAAATCACTATTTTTCTTTATGCCAATTTATTAAATAAATATACTCCGGCAAGTATCAACATTCTAGTATAATCAGATTATGAGTTAGGAAACGTAGTTATAGGATGATTCTCGTTACAAAATATGATAAACACAGCTGATCGTAATTACTTGGGACCACAATTTTGTTGAATGCAAAGGGATAGAGATTATTTTGTTGTTATTATTATTTTTAAAATTTTCATGTCAATATTAAATTACTCGAGGACCTTTTACACCTATTTTTCAAAATTTTAGACTAAAATGTATGATTAAACTGCTAAAAACTTAGGAACCTAAAAGTAAAATTTTCTAAACATGTCACGACTTGACTTTTAAGTCTTCGAATCTCGAACTGTGACTTAAGAGATGAAATCGAAGGTAAACAAAAATACAGTAAAATTTAGCTTAGATTTTGAAAACGTGTTTAGAGAATAAATATTAAATCAGAGAGATATGTAATTTGTAGACTTAATTTACAAAAAATAAGGTTTCGAATGAGATCAAAATTTTCGAAACTTATCCTAATACGAGCTCAACTAGTTAAGACATATATTCTAATACGAAGAGTTAGATAGTTTCTATTGGCTCGTAAATTTTAAATAAATGTCTAATAGAACTTTAAATTTTCAATTTTGTGTCTAGTAGATCCCACCGGTTAAAAAAAAATAATAATAATCTATTTAATTTGTGATCAACTCGAAGCAAAGTAGAAATTTAAGGGTTTAATTTTAATTGTTTAAAAATATGTGTACCATCTTGCTTGTCCAGTACGTGTTGTTCATGATCGCATGTTTGTTCCATCCATCCTATGTAGATTGGGTTGAAAGTGTATGACCGTTTACCAAAATCATGTCTAAGTCGTTAGGACTAAAATGTTCTAAAATGTACTATAAGGAGATATGACTAGTTATCATTCCTCCCCAAAATTATATGTTATTTAATCGTAGTATTTCTTTATTTGTTTATAATCATATAATGTTATTAACTACACCAAATTGAATTAAATGCATAAATTAATGTTATTTTGTCGAGTTTTGGTGGATCCATCGGGTCTAACACGCCACTCACTTTCCACACCCAATTTTATTTAATGATGTATATATATATTTGTGATGACATTTGAATGAATAAAATAATTATAAGATGCCAACAAATCGAGAGCAAGAAGAACAAGACTGAAGATTGATTGCCATTTGAATTTGGGGCCGTAAAAAGCTTTGGTCTCTGCCAATTTGTATTGTACTCAGTGCACACGCATTCACCAGAACGCCCACTTTAGTCTTCAAATTCCCTCCACTGATCTTCCATTTCTGCAAATTCTTGAAACCACGTATTTCACGTTGTTTTCTTTGATTACAGCATCTCAACAAACAATCTGCACAGCTATATAAGCAGATTCCATGGATTTCTCTTCTTTAAATATCTGAAAACCATCATCCTTCATTAGATTGTCCATCATTTGGGGATTTGGGCTTCAATCATTCTGTTTTCTTCGCTATTTTGTTCGAATTTGTCATTGTCGATTGAATTAGAGGAACGCCATTTGAGGAATTGGGTGTTTGCGCTGAGGTTTGACCGGCGTGGGATCTGAAACTTGTGGAGTTTGGGTGTTTGAAATCGGATTGAGAGCTAGAAATGGGGAGTTTGAGGGCGATTTTGAGTCATCCGGATGACTTTTATCCGCTTTTGAAACTGAAAATGGCTGCTAGACATGCGGAGAAGCAGATCCCGCCGGAGCCTCATTGGGGATTTTGCTATTCCATGCTGCATAAGGTTTCTCGAAGCTTTGCTCTCGTTATTCAGCAGCTTACGCCCGAGCTTCGAAATGCTGTAAGTTCAAGATCAAGAGCTCGATGTCTTTTTTATTTATAGTAGATGTTTTGGTGTTCCTTTAGTTGAATTAATCTGTTTCATATCATGGATTGATGGTGGTGTTGTTGATGTTGAATCCATTTATCAGCTCTGATGGTTTTTCTTTTTGAACAGTTTGGTGGATTGATCGTTTGTTAGGAAGAACAATATTGATAGACGTTGAGTGAATATATGAACAAATCTGATGCTGTTTATCATATTTATTCATGTTTACTGATCTTTTATCACTGTGAAAGCTTTCCCGTTTCATTCCTTATATTATAACATGGATTTTAATACAAGTAACAGTTCTTACTGCACAATTTCAGTGTTTGTTTATTCACTAATTGTTGAAGTGTATGTATTTGTTTATCCAAATAGCCTTATTATGGTATTTCTTAGCTTATCGTTTTCGTTTATTCGCAGGTATGCATATTTTATCTTGTTTTGCGAGCCCTCGACACTGTTGGTATGTTATGATCTCTTCACTTCTTTTGTTTGTGAGATCCTATTCTATGCATCATTGGCCTTAAGTTTGAGAAATGTGATGGGTTTTGCTTCGATTGCAATCGATACAGGTCGAGTAATAACTAGATAGCCATTTTGGTTACATTATCTTAGCTTCATTACTGTGAGATCCCACATTGGCAGGGGAAGAGAACAAAACATTCTTTATTAGGGTGTGGAAACCTCTCCTTAGCAGCGCATTTTAAAAACCTTGAGGGGAAGGCCGAAAGGAAAAGCCCAAAGAGGACAATTTCTGCTAGTGGTGGACTTGAGTCGTTACAAATGGTATCAGAGCTAGACACCTGGCGATGTGCGAGCAAGGAGGTTGAGCCCCAAAGGGGGATGGACACGAGGAGGTGGGGTGGACACGAGACGGTGTACTAGCAAGGACGCTGGGCCCTGAAGGGGGGTGAATATGGGGGTCTCACATCGATTGGAGAAGGGAACGAGTGCTAGCAAGGATGCAGAGCCTCAAAGTGGGGTGGATATGGGAGTCCCACATCTATTGGAGAAGGGAACGAGTGCCAGCAAGGACATTGGACCTCAAAAGGGGGTAGATTGTGAGAATCCTACATCCGTTGGGGAGGAAAACGAAACACCCTTTATAATATAAGGGTGTGGAAACCTCTCCCAAGCAGACACGTTTTAAAAACCTTGAGGGAAAGCCCAAATAGGATAATATTTGCTAGCGGTGGGCTTGGGCCGTTACAATTACCTTAGGTTTACAAACTTAATTTATATTAAGTTCCCACTTCGGCACTCATAATCTTCCCAGTTATCAATTTCACTTGAACACGTTCACCCTACGTAATCGAGAAAAATTCTTTATTTTCTTTGTAATTGTATCAATACATGCAAGAACATGTAGAAATTCATGTTGGTTTCTTTGTTATGTGGCTTAGCCTAATTGTCTTATTGTGAGGGAGATTTTTCGGTCAATGGCATTTTCTTCTCTGTTATGGTTACACATAGCAGCTTTCATATGTTTTCAAACTGATCTAACATTTATATTTCTTTACAGAGGATGATACAAGCATAGAAACAGATATCAAAGTGCCCATTCTGAACGCTTTTCACCGTCACATATATAACCCTGATTGGCACTTTTCATGTTAGTATTTTACTTGTAATTTTTTCTTCTCTCTTTAGAATCGAAAAACGAATTAATGAGTTGAATTTCTGTGCATCTGAGTTCATATGTTTTAAGAGGTATTTTTAGTTAGGATCTCTTCTCTTCTTCTGCTGACTTGTGTTCTTGTTTCTATATTCAGGTGGCACAAAGCACTATAAAGTTCTTATGGATGAGTTTCATCACGTTTCAACTGCGTTTCTTGAACTTGCAAAAGGGTTGGTTACTAGAACCTACTGATTCCTGTCTGATGGTTTCTAACAACAAGATAAGAAACAAGTGATGACGTACATCATCCATGCGTGTTGAAGTTCGCCTCTTAAGAGACGAACTTCGTTCATGTAATAAAAACAACAATATTAACATAAATTGTTTCAAAAACGTTATATTTTAATAATAAGTTTAAGAAATAACAATATTAATGAAACTAAAAGTCCCATAAATGACTGATGTTCTTTCTGATTTTAGTTTACTTCACTGCAATTAGTTCTGTTTTGTTTGTTTTTCCTTTACAAAATGAAACAAACTTTTATGTGCACAAGAAAGAGTGTAAAGGCCCAGGCCTACCGTTAGCAGATATTGTCCTCTTTGGGATTTCTCTTTCGGGCTTTCTCTCAAGGTTTTTAAAACTCGTCTGCTAGGGAGAGGTTTCCACACCCTTATAAAGAATGTTTTGTTCTCCTCTCCAATTGATGTGGGATTTCACAATCCACCCCACTGACACTCAACCGATTGTAAGATCCCACATCGGTTGGGGAGGAGAATGAAACATTTTTTTATAAGGGTGTGAAAACCTCTCCCTAGCAGACACGTTTTAAAAACCTTAAGGAGAAGCCCGAAAGGGAAAGCCCAAAGAGGACAATATGTGCTAGCAATGGACGTGGGCTGTTATAGTTGGTATAAGAGCCAGACACCGGGCGATGTACTAGCGAGGAGGCTAAACCCGAAAGGAAAAGTCCAAAGAGAACAATATCTTCTAGCGGTGGGCTTGGCCCGTTACATAGAGATTATTGGAACTAGTTGTCCAACTCTTTAGTAACCTTTTCATTCTAGTATCAAATAAAATCCCTCCAAAAATGAAACATCAGAAAACCCCTTTGCTTAGAATATCTTTGATTCTGACTATAAACTTCTTCAGTGCTTAACTCACTATGCTCAATTGCCTCTGCAGGTACCAGGAAGCGATTGAGGATATCACGAAACGAATGGGTGCCGGAATGGCTAAATTCATTTGCAAAGAGGTACAGCATGACTCTGTCATCCATGGCTGAATTAATACGTATTGGTTGGCGTAGAGAACTGAAACATTTCTTCTGTTCTTGTAGGTAGAGACAGTTGACGATTATGATGAATATTGCCACTACGTAGCTGGACTTGTCGGACTTGGTTTGTCAAAGTTGTTCCACGCATCGAAGTTGGAGGATTTGGCATCTGATTCTCTTTCAAATTCTATGGGATTGTTTCTTCAGGTTAGCTATTATTCTCGAAGTGGTCAATGTTCTTTCCAATGATTTTGTTTCTATTTGCGTTCAAGTTTAACACCGACGACTGAACTACTATAACACAGAAAACAAACATTATTCGAGATTACTTGGAGGACATCAATGAGATACCGAAATCTCGAATGTTTTGGCCTCGCGAGATTTGGAACAAATATGCTGATAAATTAGAGGTGCATAAATCTATATGCCTTTGTCCTTTTGGTTTCTGGTTCTTATGTTGCCTTTTGGTCTGATTGGCTTGTTTCACTATCTTTGGCATTATAGGATTTTAAATATGAGAAGAATTCGGTCAAGGCTGTGCAATGCCTCAATGATTTGGTCACTAATGCTTTGAACCATGTGGAGGATTGTCTGACATACATGTCTAACTTAAGAGATCTTTCCATATTTCGATTTTGTGCAATCCCTCAGGTACGAGATTTTTCAACTCTTCGTGTAGGGATAAGTCATAAGCTAACTTAGTCGTCTCTGCCTCGTTGCGGGTCAGCACCTTCGAAAGAAATGGAGAACTTCATTATTCCCAATGAACCATATGATCTTGACCTATCATTTGTTCAATTTGATCGATCTGACTACTTAGTTAACTCTTTGATCTTGATGTTCCGTGTACTTTTTGCTTCATTTCAGAGGATATTTTTATCAATGCCGGAAATATACTGATTTGATATCACCCTTAAATTCGAATTAGCAAAAATAATCTCTCCTTGTATAATATGGATTCCAAACATTTTAAATGCTCCCGTTCTCCATAGAGCAATATTTTGACATCTTTGTAGGAATAATCATTTAGTTTGGGATGTGCTTTTGATAGATTATGGCGATTGGAACCTTAGCATTATGCTACAACAATGTCGAAGTCTTCAGGGGGGTCGTCAAATTGCGTCGGGGTAAGATTTCAATCTTTTAGTAAAGAAAATAAAGGGTGCACCGACTTGGTGGTAAGTCGAAAAAGGGAGCTAGCATTTTTGGAATCTGCCCGTAGTTTGAACTTTTGTGGCTTTTGTTCTGCAGGTCTTACTGCAAAGATCATTGATCGAACGAAAACAGTTGCAGACGTCTATGGAGCTTTCTTTGATTTCTCTGTTATGCTGAAGGCTAAGGTAGAAATCTTTCGGTCAGACTTAACGATTGCTCAGTGATCGGTTTTTGTTCTTCTGCAGAAATATGAGAGCTTATTACATTAACTAACTTCTTCGGGTTTTCTACAGGTCAACAACAATGATCCTAATGCTGCTAAAACCCTGAGCAGGATTGAGGCAATACAGAAAACATGCAAGGAGTCGGGTCTCTTGAACAAACGGTTCGTATTTTCCTCCTCGGTCTCACTCGTTTCTATGTCTCAAGCTTCAAATCCTCTGACCGCTCTGAAAATTTTTCATCTTTATTATCATCCACCAGGAACTTGTATGTGGTAAGAAGTGAGCCAATGTACAATCCAGCTGTGGTGAGTTTTTTTATTACTCAAATAACATCGTAACGATATCGTTTTCAACGTTAAAATATATGATGTTTCTGTTGTTCCGATCCAGATTGTCATCCTTTTCAGCCTAATATGCATCATTCTCGCGTATCTCTCCGCCAGACAGTTACCAGCTAACCAACCCATATGAGCATCGAACTCCGGTGAGTATCTTATCGATCGGGTCACTGATTACAGACAAAGGCAATGGCATATAGTCGTTATAGTCGTTTATGTTCTACGTTTGGTTTTGTGAATACAGGACAGGAGTTTGAACCGAACATGCCATGAACTTGGACGGTATGATTTAGTTTTTGGCTCCATAATCTTCCTCAGAGCTTTGTTTAAATGTTACAAAGGGTGTAAGTTAGTGTGTTGTTAAGTACAGACCAGGAAACGAGTGAGATCTTGTAGCATTCTAATGGGGATGTGTAGTGTAATGGTTGACATGGAAGTAAGCTTTGTTCTTGTTTTTTCAATATTCTATTAAGGGATTAAGTTTTGGAATTAAAAGTATCTTCCATAACAAATAGTGTGCATCACTGTCTTTTTAAGAAATCAGGAAATGAAAGAATATAGAAAGACGTGTAAAAAAATTCAACAAATGTAAAAACTAGAGATCAAATCATTGTTTTCTAAAATAATAATTAATTAACTTCAAATTAAGATATGTTTTGTTCAATGAGACGATTTTCAAATCTTTAAAAAAATTTGTATCGAGATTTTCAGCGAAAGAAAATCTTGTGATCTCAATCATCCACACGATTTCCTCTTAATTTCCTCCTCGGTCTTTACACTTCACGACCCTCGAAGAGTATGTGTTTAGTGCAAGGTCTCACAAAACATAGAACAATGAAATAATGTATCCATATGAGCTTTGCCCCTCGCTTTAATAATGAATGATACAGAGTCCCTCAATATATATGGCACACTTCACAAATAGTTTCTAGAGTTGAACCATCTATTTCTACCTGAACCCTTCTCGAGTTTCCCTCCTAGCGAACAGAGAAAGCTTATGCCTCATCACTCGCATTCACCTAATCGAGCAGAAAGTCGTTCGGTGGTCATCTTACAACTAGTCCAGTCAAATTAGGGAGAAGGACGCTGTATATTGAATAAGTCACCAAGATACCTCAAAAAAAAAAAAAAAAAAAAAAAAA